AGGTCCGCCATTCTATTTTTGAGCGAATATTGCAAGGCCCATATAATCCACATGCATGAGGTTTTGGGCGTGCTCGATCGGGATCGGTGAGGCAGAAAAGAAAACGTCATCAAATTCAACACTCTCGGGCCCGCTCCCTGCTTCCGGGTGAGCCTTCCTGAAATATGGGGGACTTCCCTGGAATCAAGAGCGGGCCTAATCTTCTGACTAGGCGCTTGTTGGAATTTCTCCTCCGGAGATATTTCAACAAGTCCCTTACAGATGGCCGGAGTTGACAGATAAGCGAACGGATGCAACGTACACGCGCGATAAGCTATTACGAATGCGACGAATGCAAATGAAGCGATCGAGTGCTCCATGGCGAAGCGCAGGACGCTCCTGAAGAATCGGATGGATAGAGTGTCAGACAAACGAAAATAGAGGAAGTAGGAGAGATGAAAACATCGGAGAGTAACTCGCTCTGAATCGATGGCACATGAACTCCAACAAAAAAAAATTACTGCGGGAGAAAGACGACTGGAAATGACTCCTGGTGACTGTCGGCCGGCTGATGAGTACGCGTTCAGCCTCTCGCATTCTCTTCCGCTCGAGACCGCTCGCTCGGTCGCCTCAGATATCTCTGAGTACGCAAATGAATCAACGACATCAAGTGCCACAAAGTCAGGGCAACCGGGAAACCAAGTTTCACGAGAGGAAAACACGTCGCGCGGAATGATAAACGTCTGGGGATTGTCTGCTACTGCTAGCCGCTACGAGTAATAATTCAGATGTGAAAATCCTGACAGAAAATCTATCTCCGAAACCACCAATGAGTGCAACCGAGCCGTGTCGATCCGAGCTGGGTTCCGCCGCTAAGTTCGGTGGAGGAATCGATGACCTTGCCAGTAACTTTCAGACTTTAGTGCTGCTCAGCGCTTGATTGGACAAAGCGTAGTAGAACACGGGTGCAATTTACTCACGAGCGGTTTGCTCCTTCCGTCATGATTCTGGTGTGGTCTCACGAGTCGCTAATGTCTGGAGCGGTCCGATTGCTTTACGATACAAAACTCTCGTTCAAGCAAATAAAGGCGAGCTCCAATATTCCGTCAATTTCACGGGAAACGGCTGGGAAAATCCCAAATATCACTTATCTCGCTTCAATCAATCGCTCAAAGCATCTCAGAGGGTCCGATCTGGGACCAGGATCAGCGCCGCTCGAGCCTGATGCCTCGTGACCATCTTTCCGATTGTCTTGCGACGGAAAGCTTGCTGTGACGTTTGAACCAGAATCGGCGGGTGTTGGGGTTCCGACAACGATTTGGATAAGTGCGGGATCTGCGAAGGTGATGGGAAGCTCTTCTGAGCGGCATCTAGTACGCAAGATCTTCCAAAATGAAATGGGGAAAACCGGCGAATCTCATTTTTGGCGTCGTCTTCCGATGTTTTGGAAAGGGAACAAAAGAATTCGGCTCTGGGAAATTCGAGACGCGTGAATCCGAGAATAGTGCTCAAATCTGTCCTGTATCACTTCTAGTGAACTTTTCGTTTTAGCATCTCTCATTGTTTCTCTGGGAGTCGCTTGTCGCGCTCGATCCTTCAAACCGAAGAGTTTTCGCATTTCCGTCATTCAACGTTCTGAGACAGTCGGACGAAACCATTAGGATTGGGGAAAAAGCCGCGATATGTCGTTTCCATGCTGCGTCTGCTATCCTCCCTTTGATTTGTCCGCACTCGATCCGATGGAATTCAGGAAACAGAATGAATGGCATCAAGAGACGGCTACATGAGTATTCTCGACGCTGGCGTTTCTCTTAGGGGTCGAGCATCATCGACAATGAGAGTCTCCGTCATTCAGACATCCCGTCTGTGCACGAGATCTGGTGCCGACTCGCACATGGACCAAACGCGACCGCGTGAACCTGCAGCCTTCAGAAGATTAGTTGCCGCGAAGATAGGTCCTGGCCCCGACGTAATGCTTCGTTCGGGTTTCTATCTGTCATCCGCTGCGGCTGCGGGGAAGTAGTCGCCGGACAAGGCGTCGGGATTGTCCCAAAGCGGCTGTCCGCGGTAGGCAGAAACATCCTGCGGGAAATTCTGTCTCCTCCGGGTTTTACCATAGTTCAACGTCATTCATGCGGGCTGCGGTCATTGGTCCGAAATATCTCTCCGATGAACAGGCTATTGAGCACATCTCCTGCTTCTATTATAAAGTCGCGAAATCTCCGATTCGGGACTTTTACGAGCGAAACCACGGGAAACTGCTCAATTCGCGAGAAAATCGACCAAGGGGCTCCCGGACATTTTTTGACGGAATCTTCGAGCTTTTTTCCCAATGTGGAGCAGGGTGACAACCTTCGCCTTCGAGTCTCCTGTGACGGGGATCATTCCCTGCTGAAGGTAACAAAATGGAACCCGTGCATTTCATTTTAATGATTCCTCGATATTTCTCCGCTCAAAGCTGAGAATTCATTCGGTTAGGGGCCAAGAACTTCAATACATGGAGAAGACGACGGGTTTTCGCAATCGAAAGGGGTGAAGCAGCCCTTGAATTTCTCTGCGTCAAGCAAGACCACGGTAGCACGAATGGTGACAACTCCAATCAGCTGGCGAACATTCAAGTCGTAGCGGGCGGTTGGACGCGTGACAGAATCATTTCGGCTTGAAATGAATCCGTAAATACCTAGCTATCCACCAATTTAGCAGTCGATCTGTCAGTTGGTTTCGCGTGTCACGTCCACATTGGCTTGATTCTGGTGAAGTCCGTTCGGGTGTCGAAAAGATCGATGGAATTCTCCTGAATCGGAAGCCACGGTTGAACGTAAATTCTGGCAGAGGACCTCCCCACCCTCCCACATGGGATTCCGGGAGTTCGACCTCGTCCCCATCGGATTGCTTCGACCCAGGTGGACCATATCGCCTTGGGAAGCGCTCCAAGGTACCCCCGTACAGTCCGGTGTAGGATCTCGTAGCAGATTCGCCTTCGTAATGAATCATTGACCGCAATCAATTAATGCGCGATCGGATAGGACATAAGGCATCCGGATTCAAGATTTGATCCAAGCGGATTGAGTTAGCAACCATTGCATGCAATCGCAATCGCTTGACCCCGGACACCTTTGGCTCGTGCTGCAGTATCGGAACTCGCGCGGACGGGCTTTCGTAGCGGCTGGACAGGTGGTGGTGGTGGAGGCACAGAATAGCAAGTTCTGTTGGCAGCCTGAGCGAGCAGCGTGGGTACACGTTCTTCCACAAAAGTTGAAGTTGTTCCATCTCGTCGGTTCGCCGAGTATTGGAGAAAATCAAACATGTGGCATTCGCGAGTCTACTCATGGGAGTTGCATCCTCGTCGAGATCTCGATATTCGTCTAATGTTTTCTCTCGTTAAAGATGGAACAACAAACTGGGAGAGCTTTGAGAAACCGAGGCTGGCACTCCTATAACATAAGAGTTCGAGATGGTCAGACCTACCCCGGTCAACGCCCGACAGCGACGGAGATATCCGAATATGTATTGCAAGTTTGCTGGGGATGAAAATCGCGGTGGTCCGAGGAGGAAGTTTCTTGTGCTGCCAAGTTTCGGAAAGTCGGTCATCGATTTCCCCGGCGAGTCTGTCCAGCGAGCGAAGTTTGTCTGATGAATACCTGGAAATGGAACTTCCGAGTCGTATCACGGAAATCCACACCACGGCCCCACTCACGGAGTTGTCACTGTTTTTCTTCTCCCTCATGGAGCGATGGCATCCGTCTTTCCATTGCAGAAGACTGTGGAATCGGAAACAGAAGTTTGAACGCGTTGTAGATACGACGACGGAAGTACAAGCGTTGAATGTTGTAGGCGAGCCGCGTTGAACAGACAAACGCCTCCGTTTTACAAACGCGAGCCAACGAACCGAGTAGTCATCGCCGCCTCGGCCACGACTGCCACCGCCACGCCGCTATCCGCAGCTGATCGCTCATTTTCGCCGCTCTTTCAGTGTTGCTTCTGCAATCGATCCGTCGGCGAACTCGTTGATTCGTAGGATAGCGAGTTCATGAGTTGAGCTCAATCCTGTTATGGAACTCTTCCGACGTCAGTCCAGCACATTCGATAACGATCGATGGAGAATACGGTCTCCGAAAGAATTCCAGGAACTCTGACTCCGAGAGTTCCCTAGCAGGACCTCGAGACGGCCTCCGTCTCGAGCTCAAGATTCCATAGCGGCTGTTCTTTCTTCCTCTGCTCATCGATGTGTGCATGAGACTACTTGCTCGCCCGGGAACGAATTCGCGAGAGCTCAAACGAAGAGCTGAATACATACATCCATGATGATTATGTCTCGTGAAGATGTCTCACATGGTTTGGAATTCAGAAGATCCATGCATATACTGCATCGAAACTCTGGCGCCGAAGTCGCATCCAGCGTGACGCTGTCACGTGTTTCCTGGAGTCGGACCTTTCCGGGTCCGAATCAGCTCCACGAGTTCGGACGCGGAAACAGGTCCCTGCGATGTTTTGCTCGGGAATAGGCAAGACCGCAACGAGACTTCGCGATCTCTCGTCGGTCTCTACCCGGGGAAATGAGGGAGAAAGCGATGGGCAGAGGAGTAAATTTTGTGGTCTACCATTGAGAACCGATCACGTCAGGTGAAGCGAGACCTCCTACTCCCACACGAGATACGCAAGCGAATACCACACTTTGAAGGGCTCGGTAATGTCCTTGCCAACTTCAATTCAATGAAGTTGGATTATGACATTGGGCAACCGATTCGAGCTTCTTCATTCTGGCATATACCTCGATTTGGAAGCATAGAGCTGGGGATGTTGCACCAGAAAAAAGCTCGCGTGACTTTCCCTTCGACGGGAAATGGAAGCCCTTGTCACAGAAGCAACGACTGTGAGCTCGAACGCGACACTTACGTGCGTGCGTGTCCTGCTACCGAGGGCCTCGGCTAATTGCGATAAGTCCTGAGTATCGGAATTTTTGTCTCCTTCCCTTCGGGTGGCTGTAGCGCAAAAATCTCACGTTTTTTCTTCTTTTGCAGCGTTCGTGCGCTTCTCGATGAAGAGACTGCAGATCAACCTTCCATACACAGTTGTTCTCTTCGTTTGTGGGGCATTCGTGGGACTCGCGTCTCACGCGTATCCCGAAGTTTTCCAAATCTACACGAAGCCGGCGTCGATCGATCCCAAGATCCTACTACATGTGTTCCTGCCCATTCTGATCTTCGAGAGTGCGTTCTCGATGGAAGCTCATGTGTTCATCAAGTGCTTCTCGCAATGCTTGATTATGGCTGTGCCCGGACTGAGTGAGTAGCGATTCCGGATTTTTTCTCCAGATGACATCTAACAGCTGTCGTCCTCGAGAGTCGATTCCTGCGGATTCGGTCAAAGGCTTCCCGGGGTAGCCCATGAGACGGGAAACCTAAGATGAGGAAACGGGAAACGAAGAATGCTACATGGAAGGACCGAGATGGCGGACTACTACTCGGAATCTTTCTGTAAATGAGGCTAGGGGAACTATTCTCACCTTGTCTTGACAGCAGAAAATTCCGCAAGACAAGATACTAGTTTGTCTCCTCGTCATCGATCGAAAGATGCGGACATGTGTACTTTGGAAAACGCGCTTCTCGTCGTTATGCGAGTGTTTGTACACTTACGTGAGCGTTATGCCGACGCCGGGATAGACACAAAAATCGAACCTCGTCGAACGGGGAAATCGAACGCGGAAGACGACGCGACGTTAACAAACACGGATGCAGACCAGAATTCAAATACAGTGAGCTGCATCCTCCTTTTCAGATAGTTTTCGCCGGACGAGTACCTAGAGACTACAGATATTTCTGGCCACATCAAGTCCCCTGTACATCGCGTTTCATTGCCGAACAACTCCGACTCTGGAGCGAGCAACGACCCGTCTCCTACGTTTTTGTACGATAGATTCAAATATTTTTATCTCTCTCCTTCGCGCGTAGCGCTCTGGTCTATCCAAAGAGGACTCTTTATCAAGAATACGACTTCGTACATAGGAGCGGAGAAATATGCCGTGGAACCTTGGTTGAGCTTCGAGCGCTTTGGAGCCTCAAATGAGTCGTATGAAATGTAGAGACAAGGTTTTTCCGCCTGATCATGTCGATGAGATCCATGGTCTCTTGCAACTCTCCATCAGCTGCATCCTCGAATAGAGCAACACACCCTTGACTTTTGAGCGGTCTCTTTTTTCCGATTCCTCCTTCATTTGACTGTGCCGAGAATGGCGAATTCTTCCGGCCCCTGATTTTATCAAACGATTGTCTCGTCACTTCCTGGAGACCCCGTCGCTTATGCGACATCATCACTTATCGACTTTTCGTTTTTTTTTGTCTCTACATTAGCGACGCGGCGCCGGCGTTCCCCCTAGCATAGGAGACCTTCTTCGAGGGGTGCCAGAGGTCATGTGGGTGGTTGTAAAACTGGACTTGAGAGCCTTCATACAAGAGTAGGTTCGTGGACGGGAGGTTCTCACGAGAGCTTCCCCGATTCCGTGAAAAAGTCAAATCGACATAGAAAATCGGAAGAACAAAAACTCCCCATCGAATCGAGATCTTCCCGGAGGTTTCGACCATCGGGAAGGATTATCGCGGATGGGTCTCGCCCTTTCAGAGGAGTATTCTGTTCGAGACGCCTTCGGACCGAACACTGCGCGTCGCAAGGCAGGGCTGACGCAATACATGCAGCGCGGTAACGGGTTTCTGGCTCGTCCATCCGCCTTGATGGCTGGGTCCGTCGTTCGATCGCTCATTCGTTTCCTCACTTGTTCTGTCTAACGTTACGTCCGCGGTCCCTTGCCGCTCGCCCACCCGGCTGTTGTCAAGGCAGTCGGTTCAGTGTTGAATGTCTTCAGCTCTATTGGGTGATGCATGAGGGCGGTGTCTGACTGTCCGTAAGTCTGTCTGATGATGACTTTCATTGCTTCATGCGAGCTGTGTGTCGGAGTGGAGGGGCTGTTCGAGCAACGATACAGCAATCTATTCATTCGACCGAGCGACCATCCATCCATCCATCTATCTATCGAGTCAAGTAGCGAGTTAGTTCGCTTGCTCAAAGTCTGAGGGAGCAACAATGAGTTGTAGAAGACGAACAACGGCATCATTACCAGACCAGCATGGAAATTCAGCGAAAGTGTTGCTCGCGACGGGCGCGTTGTGGAATTTCAATGAGCCGCTACGACGGCTGGGTTCCGTCTCCCGCAGCCCCGCAGTTGCTAAATACTTCAACGGGATTTCTGTATCTCGTACTTCACCGAAAAACTCACTCAGTTGCGTCCAATTCAGCTACGGTCCGAAACAAATGCGGAATGTGCTAAATCCGCCAGAATTTTTTCATCTGCCGAAAATTGGAAGCGACGGCTTTAAAGAACAAATCAGGTGTAGTTTGCAGTCGGAAGCGAAGGGACCGCTTTCCCTCGGGAAAATGAATACGAATAACGAGACGCGTTCGTCGTTTTCGCCCCCTTCACTCCCGGTCGCGGCTCCGGCAGGACCCGATGAAGGGAAGATGTGACCTCAGGTCAGTAATCCTCGCCACACCTCGGCGGATCTTCGAATGCGATGAAACACTTTCCTGCGCTTTTGAGCTTCGGCCGAAGGAGAGAGGGGTCGTCTCGCGAGAGACAGATGAGTTCACCAACAATGAGTGCCATCAATCCCTGCTCGGATTCGGTGTCGGTGAAATTTCGCGTACGTCTCCTCGCCGACAAAGTCAACCTGTTTTTTGACGGATCTTCTTTTTCCCGGGGAAAGCGACTTGCCCCCGCTCGTTTAGACATCTTCGTGGAGAAGATTACTTTCGCTTGGTATCTTATCGAAATAAATCCGCAACGCGGAGCGGCGCTTCAATTAGCATTCTGCGAATGACCCCGCTGGACGTCACCCCTTTTTTTCTGTGTTGTTGCGAATGCAGCGAAAGCGTTCCTGCTCGGATACTACTTTCGTTTGGACGACGGACGACATTAAACGGAATTTCCATTCGTTAGATTAGATTCGGCCTGGTCGCCTTGAGCTGACGAAAATCATCGCCTGTCGTCGTTACGGCTTCTGTTCAGTCTTCTGTGAAGTTCCTAAAGCATCGCTTCCGTCGTCGGCGTCATCATTGAAGCCGACGTTGCGTCCCTTTACGGTTAACACGAGACAAACTTGACACCGACATGATCACAAATATGTGCAAAGCATATTTTCCTCGCGTTTGGACGTCTCGTGAGAAACCATTCCGCTGGGATCCGCAAAATGAAACGCTGAGCAATTCGGTGTCGCCGAAGCCCACTTACGAATTCCGCGATATGCATCCACAATCATAGCGTATCGATCTGAGTATGAATGAACCTCCTGGTAGGCGTCGAAGGAGCTGTAAACACCGATTTGCAGCCGTCTTCCCTTCTTTATCAGGTCGACATCGATCTGAAAGGACGCGGAGAAAAGTTGCCATCCCATTCGGACAGCGGAAGCTAGCGAATTATTGTGACTGTGGTGGATCTGCTATGCCTTTCTGACGCACGCCAACCGGTGTGTCCCCTGTGTCATTACGATTTTTTCTGTTTCCGTTCATGCGTTCCTGGTACTGAGGACATTAGCGGCTCTGCCGCCGGATAGACACAGGGCCGATCTCCTGCAAGAAAAAATGATATACTAGGTCGATCGAGCTCTGTTATCTTGCAGCCTGACTTTTCTCCTAGGTGTGCTGATTCGTAGCAGTTGAGCCCGTTCGATAATTGTCGCATAGGGCTGGGGATTTCCGCGGGCAATTTGCGGGAAACTCGCGGCCTCCATCGATGCTTAGCGGTTGGCAGCCGCAACGTTCTGCGAAAAATCACGGGAAAATCGCGATCCGCGGAAAATCTCCCGCTCCGAACAGAGATCATGGATCATAATCGACACTCCTGAGCTACTGCTTCGTGTTCTCGACGTCTCCTGGAATTGGATATCCCCGGAGTCTATGGGGCGCTAACGATTTCGGCTTCGTCCGATTCCGTAGTCCGCCTCGCCTCTGAAAACAGCATGATCCCGAATACCTACCCAGGACGCGGACGTCTTGGCCGAGCCGGCCGGTCTCAGCATATTTCATAAGCGCGTCATGAGTTGATTGATGGATCGGTCCATTGATAGCGAGAAGAGAGTCATTCATTGATAAGAATGAATGGATCGATTGATTGAGCGAGTTATCGATCAATAAATGAATGACTCGATGAATAAATCAGTCAGTCGACGATATTGCGCACGCGCCGAGTCCCGCTGGATAGGAAAGCGATCCCCGGACGGCGCTTCTGTGCCTAATCGATCGAGCGAGCAAATCATCCATTTCGATTGCGGCCTTGACTTTGCCAGAGTTGCTGCTTGTCTTGCCGCCGCCTCCGTCTCCGACGTCATCGGAGCCTTTGTTTCCATTTTTATTTGCAGCTTACATCACGCTCGCTCTGGAAAAGTCGAAACGGTGTCGGCGGCGGCGCGTTGGTGATGATGATGATACTGCGGAATGGCTGCCGTCGAGTTTGAAGTTGAATTCAGCCCGGTCAAAAACTGTCTCTGTTTCCCGTCTTGTTCCCCTTCATCGTGACGTAAAAACATGCCGCCACCATCGCTGAAAGTGCTTGCAACCGCTATGCCGTTGGCTTCACAAAGCTGTTCGTATCGGAACTGCCTGCCGAAACTCGATGAAACTTCAACCTACAGCCCGCCATGTTTATGTTTCTCCTACTCATGTTCCTCGTGGTGGCGTCGGGGGCGGTGGCAATTCTCAGATGATGCTTATTATTATCATCATCATTGTGGAAGGAGTGAAATAGGATAAGACGGAAAATGTCGATAATAGCGATGTGGGTATGAGATTTTGAAATTGTAAACATATGGTCGCGGCGGTGACGATGCGCCTCAACGATTATTAGGCAATTGCCGGTGGCAGCTCCGGCGACAATGACGATGGCAGCTAACGGGACCTGTTTGACGAGGAAGGCGGGATTGTTAGGTCAGGCGCTCCAGCGACAGCTCGTGTCCCGAACGTTGTCTAACCTACCTAATTGGTGTAAGGTCTGCGCCAAGTCTGGCGGAAGCGCGTAATTCCTCTTCCGAGTGCGATGACTGCGGCTCTGACCAAGCGTGGGAATTGATTCTCGGCGACTCCGCTCCAATGAATCATGGCAATCAATGAAGAATGAATTCATTACGTGAAGGCGATAACGATCGTGATGATGCTCGAGACGATCCGTGTCTAGTAGCCATGGCTAGCTCGATGAAAGGAGCCGGGACCCTCCACGGATGACAGGACACCGGTGCACCACCTACTTCGGGCACTTCCAGTGTTCGCGGACCCCGAATCGGATTGAATGATCCGCCATCGGACGTCATTGAAAGAGTTGTTGGACCGAAATCGCGAGGAAACCGGGACGAAACTCCTCGCGGTATGGAATACCTATGAGTCGCTAGCAGAAGACCCTTCAGTGACATTCTTGCTTTTTTAATTTCAGTTATCTGTGCCAGCCTGACGGCATTCATGTCCATGAACTTGTTCCATGCGTACAACGCTTGGTCGTGGCATTACGCGTTCCTATTCGGTTCGATCCTCTCGGCAACTGACCCCGTAGCCGTTGTCGCGCTCCTGAGAGATGTCGGTAAGTTCATTCAAGTTTGCGCGAAATCGAAACTTCGGGCGTCTCGGAGCCTTCGGCTCGACAAAAATCAGCTCGAGTCGAGACTTCTCTACCTTCATCGTGTGATGCGGCCCTACACCGCGGTTCGTCTCGATCCGATCGATCTCCGATCGCGATGCCTGCTCGGTACGGCACGAGGACAATGTTGGAAGCTCTCCATAACGTTTGCGCATGAGCAAGTCGACCGCTCGGACTTCGAGCCTTCTGATCAGTGCATTGCGATACGGTTTGCCTTGCTTAGATTAGGATTACCAGCATGAATTTCGGTGGGGAGAAAAAGCTGACGTCTCCTCGCGCTTACAGACTTTCGGTCTCCCCGAACGAGCGAGCTTGATTGATAGAAAGCTCTGCGATCCATGAATGAGTGGAGAATGGGTGAATCGATCAACGTTTCCGTTGCGTGCGCGAAAACCAACGCAACGGAAATAAGTTATGTCGTTAGGCCAAACGAGTATTCTTGGATGGAGATACCATTCTGTATTCGCGGCGGCGGCAGACACGTATGGGAGTAGACAAACGACAGAACGAGCACCACGTCAAAACGACACGAAAAAAACAATCAAAATCAAGAGCTCGACCAACCGACCGACAATGCAACAACAGATGGCTCTGGTATTCACTATGATTGCAGCTGGAACAGACATTGAAGCGTGACCAGTGCCGGAAATTCGGTGTGCGGCCAGTTTTCGATGGATGAACCGGCCGAGTCTGTAACCAGATTTTGGTGTTCCGATTCGGCCTCGCTCGCTGTGAAAATCCTTTGTTGCCGCCGACGCGACGCAAGCGCTCAGAGTTGTAACAGTACTCGGAGCAGTGGCCGCCTTATTGGCTTCGTCAACGACGGTGGTTCCTAAGCCAGTTTGAAAAAGTGGTCACGATGTGTTTCTCAACGAGTGTTTTTGAAAGCTCCGAAAGAAAAACTTCAATGGCAAAGTTCACTCAAGTTCAACGTCGGCAACTTCCCATGCATGCGAAGAGCGTCTCCTCTCGAAGATTCCCGAAATATGGGGGTCCCCGACGAGCGCCGGACTTTTGTATCATGGTCGCGAAATCTATTATGTGAATTAGCCGCGCATCCAAGACCGAGTCGCGCCCCGGAAGGGAACCCTACTGCCTCTACGACGTTTCCGAATCATGAAATCTCTAAATACTTCAATGGGTGTTGCCAAAACTTCCAGAGAGGCCCCCAGACGAGGCTTACTAGGAGTGCTCGGCTGCCAACTCTGGCGGTACTTCAGAAAAGCATTTGGATTCGGGGAAACTGTAGAAGAAAACAAGTCAAGCTTGAACACAGCCCGTACAACAACAACCCTTCCGCCTTGAGCACCGCTCGGTATTATTATGGTCGTCTAGAAGTCTAGAATCCTCGAGCTGCTCTAAAGTTTATCGGTGAAATGTACGAAAGTTCCACGAACTTCACTCGACCGAGGTTTTGAGAGACCTTCGACGGTGATAAATCTCCACGTGTCTGGTCGGCACTGTGTCACCGCAGGCAAGGAGTGGAACACTACTCGCGGGACGCTGTTTCGACTCGCCGCATTAGCTGTACAGACTCGGGAAAACTTTAATCTACCGATTCCCGAGAGCACAAATGAATGAAGCGGGGACACCGATCACCACTTCTATGATGACAAGGAACGAAACTGTTGACGAAGATTGGAATTGCCCATCCTCTCGCCAAGCCGTGGTGCCATGCAAGGAGCCATGAGAGCCACGGAAGAGCGGGTTCCGGAGCGGAAGAATACTGACTGAGCAAGAAAAAGGGAAATCAACGAGGCATAAAAGAGAATGTTCCTGAGTACTAATTTCAAAAAGCTCAGAAGATAAAATTATATGTAAGAGCCCCAGTGTAACTCTGCCGAGCGGCTCTTGAGTTTCTTTCCGGGAAGAGCCGCTGGTGATTTGCACAATTCCTGCTGAATTTCGATGGAAGTCGATATCGAACTCGCTGTCGCCCAGGAACATCTTCTCGCCTCTTTGTAGGTCGCGACCAAAACCTTGAGGTCTTGGCCGCACCATATTAACTTATATCGCTTAATCTGCGTGAGCGTCCTTGGTGCAAATGACATCGTTCATGTTTCGTGAAACTTGAATGTAAGCTACCCGTTAGCGAGTATCGATAGTGGATGCCTTCGAATAACCTTGTCGGTCAGGCTCCGCATGAGTGCTTCGCATGGACTAACGGCACTCGACGTGATAAGCCTGCAATGAAATGAGCTCGTGCTGCGCGGCCTTAAGGTGCAGAAGAATAGGATCAAGGAGATGACGGGCGTCCATTCGAATCCCTACGAGGAGAGCTCGGAACAGTCCTGACTTGCAGGCTGAGGGGTACTTTGCTGATGAGAAGGCTTCGACGAGACCCCATCGACTCATCCGGTAGCCTGCATTCGGCGAAATTCCAGAATTTCTTAAAGTCGGGACCTCGAGTCAATCGGAAGCTCTAAGTGAAGAATGACCTGGGCCCATCTCGTCAGATCAGCTCATCGAGCACGTTCCGTCCGGATAACGAACTTATTCCTCCGCCCGATCAGCATCTGCAACATTCACGGAATGGCTCTGATTTCTCCAAAGATCACCCGAGCGATGACTTTTTTAATATTCCTGTCAAGGGAAGAGTCCACCTCTGCTATTCAGTAAAACAGTGGAGAGCCTGTGTGATTCTCTAGGGCTTGAAATTTTCCGCACAGCTGGAGAATGAGAACCTCTGCGAAGCTCGACGGATGCTCGGAGCGATCTTATCCGTGCCATGATCTCTGCAAGACGCGGATTCAACAGCACAGATCTATGATCATTAAAAAACGGATCTCACGAAGATTTTCTCCCGATATCTCCGAAGCCGATAGAGAAATTTGGACAGCGAAAGCAGATCGCTCGATCCCGTTCCGAGGGAAGGGCATCGCGTCGTTCTCCAGGCCGTCGTTCCTTTATACAGGTGGTCGGTATCCTTGGAAGCTACTCCCTAAGAATTTTCACGATTTGGAGCAATAGTGGCTAGTAAATTCCGTTGCGGACCCCTCTTCACCCTTGTCGACCTGCCTCAGAAGCTATAAGTCTTCTTGAAAATCTTCGAAAATAATGAGAAGAGGATAAGCGGAATAGCTGGGGACATTCGATCGGCGATCGGTGGGATGAGGGTGGAGGATAGACGGGGATCGACTGACGCATGATCACTCGCTCCGTGTGTTGTTGGATTGCATCGCAGACGAAGCTTCGCCGACGCCCTGAATGGAATGGCCTAAGACCATCCGATCGGCGCGATTTCGTCTCTGCGGGCGTTCTCCGGGTCTAGTATATACTGTACTATCCCTCAATTCATTTTTCAGTACGTGCCGTACTTGGCTCCAGCCGAAAAGATCGAGGAAGGGGTTTCCCCCACCCTCTGAGGTGTAACGATCCGCGTACATGTCGAAATTAGGACTACTTCCCGAAAAGGACGCGATCCGTAACCTCAAACTGCGACAGGTTATTTGAACTGGTTCAGACAGAAAAGAAACGTCTGAAATAGAGTTCTGTCGAATGTTGCCTCAAATAGCTATTTTCCCTGAATTTTTGTGACTTGACCACGCGCAACGCCAACGGTCATGAGTCGAACTTGAGGACTTTACCGACTGTTATTCGCTGAATGGCGAGGCTCCATCCTCAAGTGTCGTGAGATTGAATCGGATATCGCTTGGAGTCGATGCTACCTCACCGATTTTTCTATCTTGCACCAGCTTGTTAAAGGCAATCCGACCCGAGCTCGCATCAAATCTTGAATTCAAGATCCATATAGATAAGATCGAGTTCTCTCACGAGCGCAATTGGACGCGGGGAGAGATCGACACTTCCAATTTTTCCACGAACTTCGTTCATCGATATCAATATGCATGTTCAATGATCCTCATATTTTATCCATTTCAGGAACTTCGAAGGTCCTCACGACGATTATCGATGGCGAAGCTCTGCTCAACGACGGATCCGCCATTGTGATATACGAAGTACTTTTGGCGATGCTCATTCCTGGTAATGAGATGAACGGTACGGACTCGGATCGTTCTGTCATCGACGCGCAGGGCCTCGAGCTCTCCGTGGCTCGATAATTTTAGAAGATCATTGTCGGCTCAACTCGTTTAGATCTGTGAGCTTCAAAAGAAAACGCTGGCGCTCCGATCCAGAGAAGGGGCCACAATGAGGGCAAGATAGGCAGGAATTCGGGAAAGCCGTTACCGCATCTGCCGCCGTGCGAGCTGAGCCCTGAATGGGAATTCAAGTCGACAGTCCGGAATCCTTACGAGCGATGCAAAAAGCGCTACAAAAGTGTTCGATGTCGCTCAATGTCCGTCAGCGAAGAATTTTGTCACAAGACTCGCAGTCATGCGCATCCATCACTCCAAGCAGTATACAGGGGGCGTTTCCGCTTAGATCTTCAAGAGAAGGGCCGTCACGGATGAGCATAATTCTGCCTTTCTTCTTTAGGCTTTGAATTGAAGAATATGCGAGGGTGGTGGTATTCGCTTGCGCAATCGGGCTTGAGACGCCCGTGGGGTCGATTGGCTTAATTCTAATTTCTCCGCTGAATGACTGAGTCTCTGCCTACATCCTACATGGTGGCCTTTCTACGAATCCAACTCTTGTCGCTCTTCCGATTCGAACAATTCAGACCCGTCTTTTACGGATTCGATGATTTTTCGAAATGATCAGGGAGTTCGGATGTAAATTGGTTGGGAGCAAAGAAGATTATCGGGAGGAGATGAATCTTCCAAAGAATCTTCGCCGAAATCAATGTTCCGAGGAAGAACTTCCTCGACTCGAAAGTGAAAATCCCGATTTGAGGCGTAGGAGCAGAGTATCCAGCCGGGGGGATCAGGATGAATCCAAAAATTACCGGGCTTCGGAGAATCATCGCACCCAGTGTTCCCAAATTTCGCACTGACCCGAGACCATCGCATCAACGGTCTCCCCTCCTCGTTGGTCATTCTCGTTGTGTCTCTCTCCTCCTCCTCGTTGCTTCGATTCAAGACTTAGTGACGGTATCCCTTCAAGTTCCTAATGGACAGCTCCGACAGTTCTCCCGGCTCGTTGAATCGTCTCAGCTCTTTCAGTGTCTCTGGATGCCTATGTCTGCGACTGTTCGCCCGGCTGCTCAAAAAGACGGAGCCGATTGACGCTCGCAGACATAATTCTTGAGCAAAACGAAGACGATAGGGTGTTGAAGAGAGAGATGTCGGGTCGCTCGATGAAGCTGCTGGAACGGCCGGCTGCGGTAGCTACAGCAGCTTTGAATAGATAAAATGCCGGAGAAAAAAGAAACACCGTTAAGGGACGTGGGTCAAAGTCAGCTTACGACTTGTCGGGGGTAGCTTTCCGAAGCTTCACCCTTTCGGCTGCAGAGATGAGCGGAAGAGATGGAGAGAAAAGAGTGACTGGAGCTAGATCAAGAGCAGACTCGCCCCTCCTATGGAAGAGATCGAATCAGCTGCCCGCAAATGGCTTCCCTGAACCGAACGCTTTGCAAAAAAAAAACTCTTCTCCACTTAATGTCTTCCGGATACATATTCCGCTACCGTTGAGGTATGTCTTAAGTCGAGAGCTCCGTTCCTATCTTCGATTCTCGCGCTGGTCGCGATCTCGACGATGGCGATGGTCCGTCCGGAATTTCAAAGAGAGCCATCGAGCGACTCGGCTCTTTCGAAATGGGGATCCGGGAGTCGATGAGCGGCTGGCCGGACAAGATTCGCGTCGGGAACACCGGAAAAATAGGGACAGACAGACGCTTACCGTGGAGGGGTTGTGTGGAGCTGCGGGAAGTCTACGACATCAGAAATTGAAGCACCCTTGAAGATTAAATCGAGTCAGCGAACTGAGGTCAGATACCTCGTTTTCAATCACGGCCCCGTTCCCTTTGTGGACTTGTTTGTTTGTTTTTATTATTATTACGCTGCTTCTTCATCCATCTTTTGTCAAGTTACGCAAGAGGATTTCGAATCCGTTCCTCACTTTGAAGATCCTTCCGAAGAACAAATGACATTCATGTTTATTGCTCACGACTCCTCGATGCGTTCCGTGTTGATTTAGCGTATGATAGATCAATGGGGTCAACCGAAAAAGGAAGGCTAGATGTGAAGACGAATGTGGATCATCGGTCACCCCCCATTCCGAATTCGCGGTGCGGAAGGGAGAGCTCGCGCTTAACGTATGCGTATCTATATATCACGTAAATATTTATCTTATTTTGTATTGGAAAATAGTGGAAGTGGTGAGTTCGGCCATTCCATGAATAAAACATCCACGCTAACCGTCCACACGGCTGACTTCCAGCGGGAGGCGTCGTCTACATGTTCTGCAAAATTTCCATCGGGGGGCCCGTTCTGGGCTACGTTATGGGCAAGGTGACCATCTTCCTCCTCAACAAGGTACGTTCAAGTGTATCGTTTGTTTCTCATATTCTGCGAAGTGAAAGGATTTCACATTTCTTGGCGATTTTCTAGAATAATATTTCTTCCCGAAAGTCTGTGAAAACTGATTCAGGGAGGCAGGCGGAGCGAAAGCAGCGTACCGTGGATTAAAGAAAAATTCTAGCGCATTCGAGCCGATATGATTCGCCTGAATTGCTCAGTCAGTCTATTTCGCCCAAAATTCACCTGGCTCTGATTCGGAATCAGTTCGAATAAGTCTGCTTGCCGTGGCTCTGCTGCGTCCGATCCGCAAAAGTCGGGATCTTAGCATTCCTCAGACCTCCCCCTCCGTCCGGAACGGCGGAGCCGAGCTTGTGTTCCCGCGGATCGGGCTGCTGCGTAGTGTTCCACGCTTCTCATAGTGCGCGAGAGGATCGCCTCCATCCCTAAACACATAGATGCATGAGTGTATAATTATCTGTCTAATTCTGTTCGGAAAAAAACATCGCCTCTCCGGGGAGTCGAGACGTTTTTTTTGTCTTCATTCGAACGTAGAACCTGGTGGGAAACAGAGACCGAAAGTCGATCCGTCAGGCGTAACAATAGGCATATGCATGATGCTGCGCTACTCCTATTAAGTGGCACTTTCCGATCCGCGTTGACGATCGTCGATTGTCGCTCATGTGAAAGAGCTCTGCTCCATACTCGAAATTCCATATTTGAAAGTAAGGGTGATAGTAGCAGCATGATGTCTAGAAGGAGTTCCTCAGATGACATGGGGCTTGACATTTACCCAAGTGCGCGGAGAATCTTAATTCTCTGGGTCTTGGGGATTTCGGCGATTCTTCTTGCGTCCAAGTCTGAAATATCGGCCTCCTTCTCGCCAGGTTTTCAACGATTCAGTGATTGAGATCACGATAACGATCTCATCAGCGTATATCACATATTATTTGGCTGAAATAACATTTCACGTATCTGGCGTGCTGGCGGTGGTCGCTCTCGGCACCGTTCTCAGCGCGAATAAAGTCGCCATTAGTCCCGAAGTTGAGGAATTCGTTCATAGGTGAGTTTTGAAGCAAAAATGAATTCCGGAGAACAATGTTTATGATGAGCGGAGAAATCCTCATCAGTCTCGACACAATGATCCTAAGGGTATAATTTCTGTCCGCAGCTTCTGGGAAATGATGTCTTACCTAGCCAACACCCTCATCTTCATCATAGTGGGAGTACTGATCACCGAGCAGGCACTCCGCTATATTGAACAAAACGATTTGTTCCTCATCCTCGTCACTTATATCGCTGTCACAGTGTTCCGGTGGGTTGATGAAAGCGGCATTCCGCAGCACCAGACTGTCACCTCTCTATCAAATGACGCCTCCATATTCTTGAGTAACGCTTCCGCCTCAGAGCCTACTCATGAATCCCGTCTGGCAAAGAGCTGAGCTTAAAAGGCTTTGGTGTATGACTCCAGAGACAGCGAGAAGCTATCGGTGTTGGCTTCCCGATGGACTACTTCGTTTCGAGTCTCAGGAGTTTTATGGATTCGTCCTTGCCTCTCATGGAATGTCGAGGCCTCAGCCCTAATGCTCGATCTCCATCAAATGAGCATGATAATTTCAATCTATCTTCTCACCCCTTCAGGTTATCGATGATCGGTATTTTGTCACCGTTTCTGTGCCGCCTTGGTTATGGGCTTCAATGGCAGGATGCCGTTGTCATGACCTGGGGTGGACTCCGAGGGGCTGTGGGTCTGGCTCTGGCCTTGTCGGTCGCTCGCAACCCCTACATCGAACATCCAGAAGTTGGTCACAAAATCCTCATCCACGTGTCAGGTATTGTGATGCTCACTCTGCTTGTCAACGCCACAACCACCAACATGCTGCTGAGAGTTCTTGGTGAGTTTGTTCGTTCCTTCTTAGGCTTATCAGAGCTTCAAAGCGGAGATCCCCGACAATTCGTCTCGATTCCATCCTGAAGGGAGATATTTGCATTATTATTCAAGACCGTGTCGGTCGCTCGGTGCCGCGCTTGGTTTCAAAGAATCACTGGCGGTGCGCAGGGTTCTGCCCGAGTGCTACTCGCGTAGGCGCCACTCGCAATGATAGTACGAATGTTTAACAAACATTGGAAAATTTCCACGGACTATGAATTCGGACAGGATGCGGGAGCACTGACCCTTGCCTGCGGTGACATAATCCTATCTGATCCGACTTTCCCTGCTCTCCGAGCCCAGCGTCGGTGAATACCAATGATTACCTTGAAAACTTTCCTCATGCATCATACAGATCAACACGTCCAGTCACCGTTTTTTGTCAGTGCAGAAACTATCTGTGGCGTTCGTGATCGTCGCAGATGCAACGGAGCGCGAATTTCCCCGATTGAGGAAAACAGAATTCTGGTACTTCTCCCAACAAAGACGAGCTTGATCTGGAGATCGGCGGGGAGATTCGGACCGAGGTGCATGTAAATAAGAGAAAGTCATGTTACGTACTCCGATCAGTCAGTGCTCCTCCAATAGATTCTCTGGAAATATCTGGAAACTCTTGATTGATGGTGCCGCCGACATCCCTCTGGCGCTTCACGATCACGGATCGTTTGAATGAAACCGAAGGCATCACGATCTCATTTCCGGTCGGAGTTATCGATATGACCGTGTTATTCCGGAGAGCCAGACGAAAGATGCAAGCGCCGACCAGCATCGGAATCGAAGCTATGCGCATGAAAATTATATTGTCCATGGATCGATTCCATTATTCAAATCTTTGACTTGCGAGGGCGACCGTAGATGCTGCTCCGGATATCATGCGAATCCGTCTCATTTTCAGGCATGAGCGACTTGTCGTCGTGGAAGCGGGCAAACATGCGTAATGCCGTGAACCTCATTCAAGACGTACAATATCGCGCTGTCGACGTCACGAAAGACGACGTATTCCTGAGCGACGCGGACTGGAATTACGTGAAGAACTATATTGAGATAAACGATCCATACGAAGAAAAGGCAAGTTTCATCGGGACTGCGACAGATTCTCTGGATTCGTTCCCCACACTATAGGAAGTCACCTCAGAAGTGCTCCACGCTCTGAACCTTTGGTCGGAATTCCGGTTCTGACAGATCGGACCTATTTTCTTCGGAGTCTATCCCATCTGTGTATTGTTCTATGCGCAATGCTGTAGATATTGAAACCTTTCCACGATTTGAGAGTGAGAATTCTCAAATGACAGGAACAACAAGAATCATCGGAGAAGAGTTTCAAAATGGCGAAGAAAGGCCGGTCGCAATCGATAATGCTGCGTCAGGTCGATCTACCTCAACAGCATCTCTGCGCCGAATGTGCCGATAAGCACCTCTGTTTCCCGTCCCTTCAAGATCATGAAGATCTCCTCAACGAGGCTCGTCTCCGTCTCATCAACGTGCAGAAAGTGAGTTGAGGATCCGTTCAATTTCTCCCTTGTCTACTCCCTCGAAGCTTTTAACCTCTACTCTGTGAGCTGCATTATTCATGTGCACCATGAATGGCCCCGCGGAAAGGCTGCGGCGAAAACGGAGAGTCGTTATCGCATCGAACACGCGCTAAGTTCTTGACGAACAATCGTTCCAGGTGAATTACTGGCACCAGTTTGAGAAAGGTCTCCTACTCCGAGAAAGTGTACTCAATCTGGTCCGTGCAGCCGACGTCGTCGCCGATAAGCCCGGGGCGTTCTTGACGGTCGCCGATCTCCGTTCAAGCTGGGAGGTGCATGGGTTCCATAGATGGCTGGTGCGTCCATGATTCTAGACCAGAATCTTACGATAAGCGCGAATTATTCCCCGATTATCAACCTGGATCGAACGCTCCCTTCAAAGGGGACGAGGTGCCTCGCGTCATCTGACCGCTGCTGGGTAGCCGATGAATCACCGCAAACATTGTCTCATTCCAGCAAACGCATTTTGTGAATAAAATACAAAGATGGAACGATTGCTCCCGGAAAGCATCTGAGACCAAGCCTCGATGCCGGAGATATCACAATTTCGTCACCGATCCATACTTCCGATACTTCGCATCGCTGGTACTTTTGATTGATATGATCTGCTCAGTCACAGAATTCGTCCTCCGCATACACAGGTATGATCCGGGCTAGGAGCTGTATTCCACGCGATGTGGTGTCTAGGTGTTTCTCGCTCCGCATGGTCCAGGGAATGATCCAGCCACGTCGAGAAATCTTCAGATACAGGACCTAATATCCCTGTTCTCTGCAGAGACCCCGAGAACCTTACGGTACAGACTCTGCGCTTCGTGAACGTCGCCTTCGTTGCTTTCTATTGTGCGAAATCGATGTTGAGAGTTGTGACCTACGGCTTCAAGGAGTATTTCTCAATACGATGGAACCGAATCGATTTCATCCTGCTAATCGTGTCCGTTACCTCGGTTTCTCTCGAGATGATGATCGAGTTCGGGGATTTCCAAAATACCCCGTTCATCGTTCTACTGCGCTTCACGAGGCTTCTGAGACTCCTAAACGTTAATCGATTGCTTCACATCGCCCTGGTAAGTCTTAGTCAGGCTTGGAACCGAATCTTCGAGCGAATTTTCCCGCGCTTCGCGAAGTTCTGCAGTCATTCCACACCCTCCCGCATCTCATGGATAATTCCTTTCATGAAGCCGATCGGAAATCGCATTGCTCGATGGGTCAACGATAAGATCAACGAAAGGCTAACGGCCGGCTACGACATCGGTCGGGGATTCGAAATCGGGCAGCTCGAGGTGAGATAGGAATGAAGAACGAGTTCGACGGCTGTCTTGTACGGAATCTGGGAGATCGGAAGAGTTCTCAACCGTGGTCAACTGTTGAATTCCAGGTCGCGAGAGTCGTGGATCGCATCGTGCATTACAAACCGATCGCTGAGCGTTTACAGCAAATCTGCAACGAGAGTCGGCTAGACGTGAGCATAACCATATGGATATTTGACACCAGATACTTTTCAGAGTTCCCTCACCGCTGATTCCAAATGTGACAACCTTCATCTTGACCCACAGATGGTTCGAGAATTGGCCTATCTGCAAGATTTGTACCCGGATATCGCGGTGGCAGTGAAGACGCGGCGAGCCGCTCGACACGTCCTGAACACGTCTCGAACGGAGCTCGACGATCTGAAGAAAGCCGGTCTGCTCGACGATACGGTCTACCACGTTCTACATCGGAAAATCCAAATGAAGATGATGCACCTCCGGTGCGCTCCGACCAGGATGGACCCCCGACCCGCGGTTCAAACACTGAGGAATCTGAGCTGGATAGCCGGTAACGATGATGCGTTCCGCTACTTCAAAGAAAATGTCTCCCAACGCCACCTGGTGGCGGGGACCACTCTCTGTCGCCAGGGCGACCTGTCCGACGGCATCTACCTCATCATCTACGGCGTTGCCAAGGTCATTATGGAGTTCCGAGCCCTTTATTGCTGGGTGGGGGGGGGGGGCGAGCATGGAATCGAGACGACAAGCTGACCTCCATGGGATCTCTGACGTATGCGTTCTGTGTTTTCAGGAAGAGGGCCAAGTCCACCTCGATCGAGTTGACGGGGGTCTACCCGTTATCGATTCCTACCATTGGTTCTCATCGGATGCCACGCATTCGGCCACCGCTTCAACACTCAAAGGTGGGCTTTCGGCGACCCTGGCGCCGAATAGAGATGAGTGAAACTCCTCAGCTCTACGGTGACAGACGATCTGATACGCGATCCGACCATTACAGATATTCTCACAACGGGCAGCTCTATCGGAGAAATTAGCTACCTCACGAAACGACCGCGAGATACGAATATTGTTTGCGAGACCGATGTTAAGGTGGAGACATTGCACCCTCATCAAGACATATCGAGATGTATCCGAATTACACATTTCGGTTGTTGAGGGATCAGTCGCGGTTAAGGAATTCTCGGGCTCCGATTTCTAGGTCTATCACATCAGAGGCGAGGTCCTCGACGCCGCCTTCATGTTCCAGCCCGAGATCCAATCGAAGTTTCTCCGTAGCGTGGCGCTTCGCATTTCGCGAGAAGTCCTGTCCATGGAAGCTAAGTGCGAGGTAAAACACAGTAACCTAAAGATCAATTGCATTAATCATTAACTGCTTTTTCGATGACTTCAAAGTCAGGTCGAGATTCAACCTGACCTTTTTTTAACGCTGCATGAAGGCCTTGAAGCGGAGAAAATCGGTCTTGTCGCTCCAGGTAGGCTGTCATCTTTACGCATCATTAGGTGTATGGGTCGATTTTCCCGCCGGAGGAGATTTCGGTCGCACTTCGCTAGTTGAGGATTGACCTTGCTTCTTAGGACGCATAGGCTACGAGACATAGAGCTGTTAGGAGGACTAAGGTCCCGCAGGATGAGGCCGCCATGCTATTTTACTACGCTAGACTTGCGAATTGCACGTGCACAAGAGCCGATGCCAGGAACTTCAGCTTTTTCCGATATTTACCTCCTGAAACCCGTAAATATCCGGCTGCGTTTCAGGATTGGACAACGAACAAAATTATGCTCCATCTCGACGAGGCTGTCGTACATGACCTCTCCACGCAAAAGGTACGAACCCAGAGGGTTCTCTGACTGCGGCTGGGACGTTCTCACAGCATACCGTTGGAAGGCGCTCAATACGATGGATTTATCTCTAGGTTTTCAACATTTTACCTGGTACCGAGGACGTCATTCTCGTGCAGGGCTGTGCCTCTGATGGATCCGGGAACGGAGACACTTATTGTGGTCCTTGCTATGTCCCCAAGACAGTCACTGCACTGAAGTTCGATGTGAGTTCGTTGACTTTCGCCCATTCCTCTGCGTTCAGGTTTTCGATGGGCGTGTTTTCCACAAGAAACTCCTTCACGGAGCTCTTCGAAAAAATTACAGATGATCGCCAAACACTTTCCGATTCTGATCACGGTCGGAGGGCAGGAGGCCGAAGAAGGTCCCGAGGGCCGTCCGAACACCCATCACGGAATCGGAGTAGGATCGCCGCACGGTCTTTTCTTCTCGTCAGTCTGGGCGGACAAGGTATTTCCAGCGTGTCGATTCGATCGCTTCGTGTTCCCCAGGAACTACTTTGAGAAATTACAGGGTAATACAGGGGGTCTGGGTCCGTCGGACTCAGAATCTCGAAACGTCGAGGTTTTTTCTCAACCCGAATTCGATTCGTTTCCGGAAGGTTCGCCATCTTTCTGTGTCGTCTCAATTTGGCAAAGGTCATTTCCGACCTGACATGAGTGACTTGATGAGGAAGGTAATTCGCCCTCGACGATTCTCTGTTTGAAGCCGCGATTATAATTATTGTTACGATCGTTCCATATGCTTGCCGAATCGTGACGAATCGCTGAAAATGAGTTAGCTAGTTTCCCATCATTCATCATGTACTACCCTTCTGCAGCGATCGTTCTCGGAACACTCCTCAAATCTGCGGAACTTCGCCGCGACTCGCTCCAAAACTCTAGGGGCGCCCACATCGCTGCCACTCAACGCTGCCGAGCTCGAGATGCGCGAGCGAGCCGAAGAAGCGGTAAGGCTTTTCCCAATGAAATTCACGAATCCCGGTGAATAGGAACGCGGCGGTACTAACTGAGAATGAAAACCCACCCAGAGAGTCGCTGGGAGCACGAAGTCCGACAGTGAAGCGACGGTGATAGTCGGTAAAGAGAACTACATCAATTCAGCTTTTGAACCCGACAGCTGCAGCATTGTCTTCAACTCGGTAAGTTTTCGAATTATGGGCGGTATCGTGTGCCTCCAAACTCGTGGTCCCCTTGGCCATGCTGACCTGTGAGAGGACGGATATGTCCTCCTGTGGATTCCTGGAGAAACAACATCCGAGCGAATTTCGATTTTTCCCAGGATGATGAGTACGAAGAGACCGCGAGGAACAATGCTTTGAAGAGTGGGCACGGAAAGGACGATGTATCGCAGCGATTGTAGCCGTCACAGGGTTCTCAATCTATCGGCCGAAATGTGATCGATTTGTCAATTCTGCGTCAACTACAAGAGGGTTTTCATCAGACTGATTCACCATGAGCCCGTTCGATATTTGCGCCCTATATCCATGATTTTCAAATGATTGCCTGATTTTAGTTTTTGAATTCATAGGTCGAGGGGAGTCATTGTTGGAATGTCTAAAACGGAATGGGGAAGGGAAAGATCTTTCAGTTGCGATGAAGCGAAAGGAGTACCTGGAAAAGGAAGGGGGGACAGCGTGGTATTCTCGACAGGAAAGTTGTTCCCTGAACGAAACGTGTGATAGATTTGCGACGATACCAAAAACGAACGACGATGTTCATTCCCCTCAATCGCACAAGGAGCTGAGACGAATGACTGGAATCAAATAAGTGAGATACCTACCTACGAGCCAAGGCATCTATGTGGAAACGTCCCCCGGACGTGCCTGCATGCGATAGAATCTGACGACTTCATTCTGACTACTTATTGTTAGATTAGGAACAAGATGACACGTGGACATTCATGAATTCTCGAGTTGCACCCAAAACGTCGATATTCGTCTTACGGGAGCTGAGCCGACTGCATGAGATTCGGATATAAGCATAGTATACTTTGTTTACGACATCATCATCATAATCATCATCATTGGGCTGATATTTAAGGATCGGGATTGAATAAGCGAAAGATGCATGGAGTTCAGGAATGTTTATTAGTTCCTCCCGTGACCATGAGAGGAGCGCGATGTTTCCAGGGTTCAGTGTTTTGTTTACTAAAGTATTCAGATCGAGGAGATCCCACCTGAGTGTCATTTGTGATTGTCCGTGTGCAACCCGCCTCCGAGGTCGGGGCTGTGTTTTTGCGGACGCCTCCTTAGCGGAAACTGTACAGCAACGTGCGCCAGGATTCCGTTCCCGTGAATTCAGAGGACAGGGCACGGAATTAGCGGTCGTAGAGTGTTCATATGGTCCTCAAGGTATTCGGAAACGGTTGAATAAAAAATTGTCGAATACTTCTCTTCACTTCCTGACATTGAGTGTATTATACGTGACATCATATTGCTAGAGTCGGAAAGTTGGCGGCAGTGGAAAGAAAACAGACTGATTTCGATTCGCTTTGACATTAAAATGAAACATTGTAATATTTATTAATATTCATTTACATATTCTCAACACCACGATTGTTGTATGTACAGAGCTCATGGACACGGGCATACGGGAAGTGCCTATCGATGCTCCAGGCTCACGATTGGCACCATTCTTGAATTCAGTTTCAGTCCGGAGTTCAAGATCAAACTCCATATTGACTTTGGAAGTTAAAACTAGTGTTTTGCTGAGGTCTCTCATCTAGACTCGCCGCTCTACGATTCGCGGCATCTGACTAAGGTTTAAGATGCAGAGGAGATTTGCTTAAAAACACGGAAGATGTCTGTCGTCACTTAGGATGGTACACTCTCGGACACGATCGAACGACAAACAAGCGCTCTCACCCGAATCGAGGGAGCGGATAGAAGAGTGCGATTTTTCATGGGAGCCCGCCATCTAACTTCCGGGGCATCGGGAACCCGATTCGATTCGAGAATCGAGGGCAAAGTCGTCCGATGGTATCGCTGAACAACCTTTCACTTGCACAGTTCAAGAGACGAGGACTCACATATGCATATTCATAAGGAAGATGCTGGAGAACAGAATCATTTCTCACTCATCATAAATTACCACAAATAGCCTTGCAACATAACAGTGCAGCTGCTACGGGGAACGTCGTTTCCATTCTTAAGGAATACTTAGATCTTCCGAGCATTGACAACAGGGGCTTTTGATCCTTCCCTCGAGAGTCACACATCCACCTCTCACATCCGAATCCTCGATAATTCTTGGAATTTTCTCTATAATCACTGATTCGACGGAGCAGAACATTGCATTCGATCACCAAATCTCGGCGTCGGGGAGAATCGATCGCTGCTCAACATGTGAAGCGTGAGTCAAGCGAATTCAAGATTTCTTCAACATTAGGCGGGAAAATTACTGAAATTTGTTCTCGATAAGGACCACCCGATTCCTCTTTCCTTATCGGAGTAGCGCGCAGCTCTCACTCAATTGACTCTCTCTCACACAAGATCCAGCCAGGCCGTTCAACTCTTTCTCCGTTCATCCGTGTGCTTATCTAGTTCAATGTACAAACATGTAATGTATATGATACACACAATTTGAGATTCGTTGTCATTGAAACCCGGCGTCCTTAGACCCCTCACGTCTGGGGTTGTCCAGGACATATACCTAAATTGGTATTGATCATGGCAGCTCAACCTACAAAAATCTTTGATTCTGCTACGCTCTGCGATTTCTACAAAGACTTGATGCAGAATAATAGACGCAGAAAGAAAGTCCATCCGAACGCCAGGCTCGACCAGAGCCTCGCCGAATGTTAAAATAGCACCTTGGAATTCAGATCGCGAAGAGCATGGGCCCTTCACTACCTAACAGAAACATAGATTGCTACTTCAGTTGACAAATTGCTTCGTTGCTAACGAGAACTCAGGATTGTGGCGATGTGGCGGATATACGTGGGCGATCCGTCCAGAGAGTTCGGGACTTCGTTTCAATACTTTCCCAGAATGATTCGACCCTCCGGGTGAAAATCAATCATGGTGCTAATGATGAAGATGAAAATGGTAAGAATCATAACATTCTGAGTTTTTTCTTTCCCGAACTGATCTCCTTTGAGATAATTTGTAAGGCTCTCCGATTCGATGTGAGGAACATTCACTAGGCTCCGTCTGTTGCCCAGGATTCTACTCGAGATCCACGACGCACTTGTCAGCTCCTTGACGTATTCGTTGTAATCTACGCAGATTGGAAAGGGTCCCGATGATGGGGAAATCCGGCCACTCCGCGCACGTTTGATATCACATGTGTGTATTCGAAGATACGCCTCTCAAAATTCCAACTAGGGGTTTACACGACGCGTTATTCGATTGCTTCCATCGATGATTGTTCGCTCGGGCCACGGGCCCTCGAATCTTTTCTGACTGTTGGTTCCCACGTGGATGGGTTTTGAAGAATGCATCCGGACGTAATTTTCTCCGTTCACGGGTCGATTCGAGAACCGACAACTTCCCATAGAATGCTGCTTTCGGCCAATAGAAGCATTGATTTATCGATCCTTTGATTGAATAATCTATTTCCGTTCATTCGTCCACGCATCCAGTCCTTCCGTGGGGAGACTATTTAAACATTGCAAGAGGTACTGCAGAATCATATGCAGCTCATACACAGCACTTCGGAATGTAGATCAAGAAGGGTCAGGAGAACGAGGCCGCTGAGGGCAGAACGAGTACGACCGTGACAACCGATCAGCCCTTTGACCCGAAATCCGAGGCATACGACGACGAGTTCAAGATGAAGCCATAACTGGACTCCCTGGTGGAGGTGACGGAGTTCCTTGAGATTGGGCGACGCCGGGGCTGACGGTGTTCTTAGCCTCCTCCCTGTACGGTTTACAATACGAGTATCTGTGGCGGAACGAGAGAAAAGGAAGAACACATTAATTTAATGAAGCAGATACGCGAAGGACACTCGCGAGATTGAAGTCGATCGCATAATTACCTACAGCGGAGTAGTTGAGCGTGGAACGCACCTATGATTCATGTGCTGAGAGAAGGAACCACTGTGCGAGAAGCGTTTTAGGCATTTCCGACACTGGAATGGTTTCTCGCCAGAGTGTAGCCTTCGGTGCTCGGTAAGATGGTGCTTGTGTTTGAATGCTCTCGAGCATACCTCGCATTTGTGCGGTCGGACTCCTGGTGAAGTGAAAATGAGGGAAAATGTGAGTAGCTTTCCTCGGTTGTGCTGCGGGGTCATCACGGGAAAGGATTGAGGAAGTGAGCATGCATTCGGATCGTTTTTTAAGCCTCCTCGAATAAGCGTTCCAGGACAGCGTTCCACAAGGAGTGACTTTCCAGATCGGGGAACGAGAACAAATTCGGGAAAGAGGGTCGACCGGGAGCTAACTCGACGGACTACGATGATTCGATGCCCCATTCTTCTACAGAGCGGCGCTGAGCGATATTTCGATCATTTCAGCGGCACTCGTCGGAGGGAAAGACAAACATCAGGATGAGAGAAGTGATTGATGTTTCGGAGTATCGATATCAGGTGATGATAAATAGCTTGTTTACATCAGTAGAGTAACAAAGCCCGGGAGAAGCATCGTCGACTCGCCGGCAAACAACCCACCGACCGACCGATGGATTGACTCAACGATCGAAACATAATAATTGAAGAAGAACGAAATGGAGAATTTGAAGCTCAGATTATTCATTGATCAAGGGAAGCGAAATTTCGTCGGACGGCTACACTCCTTTCGATGCAATGGACGTCGCTGACCGTGCGAGAGATTATGAAACGTGCAGCGATAAAAACTCACCGGAGTGCTCGAACTTGTGGCGTGTGTAGGAGCTCTGCTTGCTGAATACTTTATCGCACTGATCACAGTTGTAACTCTGGCTGCCAGTCTGCTCGTCCTCTTTCGTCGAGATCACTTTGCTCGGTTTCGTTATTTTCGTAGTCTCGTGCAACTCCTCGTCAGGCCAACTGCGCGGCTCGAAAAACGGGTGGAACGGACTGACAGCGTCTCTACTTGAAACGTCGCTCGACGTCGAGGTGGATCGCATACCCGTCATCAGATCTGTGGGGAACTGGGTCGATCCGGCCATCAGCAGTCCGACAACAGCGTTTTCAGGAGAACTGAATTGACGGTAGCCCAACAGTTTTGCGTAGTCAGGAGTTTCACCGTCGAGCGCTTTGATCGCTGACAGAGCTAGGAGGTTTTTGGGCACTGAGGTGTCAAAAGATTTGAACGGTGACGGCGACCGGCTGCCTTCAGACGAGACGCTTTTCCCGCTCTTCATAGAGAGATCCAGCGGCTGGTCGGGATCTGCAATACATGAACCGCCGTTTTTAGACTCGCACTCGTCACGGGTAGAGGGGTCGGAGATTCGAGTTGGAGACCAGGCATCGGTCTCCTCCGAGCTCGGCAATTTAGGCTTCACTTATTCGTCATCAGGGCCGGAGCCTATTCGGTGGTTTCCTTGTTTACGTACCTGAGGTTTCCGCGTCGAGGGTCAGTCTGCGTCGTTTGGGGGAATTCGCAGCCGAGGACGGCCTCGAGTGGGTAGACGTGGGAGGAGATGATTCGCGTGGCTTTTCGACGCGATCCGATCTATTGACCGTCTCGAACCACCGTTCTACGGTATTTTTCGAAACTTTGAGCTCCTGCGCGAAATGCTCGATATCGGACGGCTTCGGGTACGGTCCGTTGATCCGGTGTTGGGCCCTGAGGAAAGCGCTCGCCTCCTCGTTGAGTTCTTCCTCATCCTTGACCTCAATCTCCAAGTCGGGCTCATTTTTCACTCTCGTCTCCATCAGAGATTCGGTTTCGCTCGGTAGGTTACGATTTACGTCGGTGGCTAGCTTACAAACGAAGCGCTCATGTTGGAACAGCTCCATCGGCGACGACATGCGTTGATTGCACTTGCTGCACTTGAGACTTTCACTTTTCAATTCTGGCTTGAGATCCGTTTCAAGTTTACAGTCGAGGATGCTCTTCGCCGCGGCAGCCGCGGCAGCAACGGTATCAGCTGTTTCACCGGTCGCAGCCGTCGCCGAAGCAGACGTCAATGGCGAAGTGCTTGACGTCTGATGGTTTTGTTGGAGTAGATGGGCGACTTCTTGAAAACTCGCCGCCAAAGGGAGGTAACTGCTAGGCAAAGGAAACTGTCCCAGCATATTAAACGGATAGCCGACGGCAGCCATAGCGGCGGTAAGGAGTGGCGGCCGGGAACTCATGTCGAAATTCTGCTGACCGCCCATGGGGTAAGCGGAAAAATCCTGTGCGCCAAATTTCGGAATAATCGGTCGAAACTGATTCGATTGTCCTCCAGTACTCTGAGAAGACCGCGGCGGTCTCGTCGCCGATGTCGGTTGCTTGAGATCAACTTTGCGCACCTGAAAACAAAAAAATTATCATGATTTGGTCATTCGGGATCCGAATTACGACGAATAGGTACATCTATCCGGGGGCCTTAGGAACTTTTGCGAATTAGAACGCCAGTCCGCCACCCTCCGATGGTCTCGCTAATTCGAATGTTTACAGCTCATTCATAAGAAGCTTGCTACGAATCGGAAGGGGATGAAATATCCCGCGACCCGAGCCTGCGGAGAAAAGGAGACCGGAGTGCGCAGGAAGAGGGATGGCGAAGGATTTCGACAAGACCCGCGTTACTTGGCAGGCTTTAAAGAGGCTTCCGCGAGGCATCGCACAAGAAGTGGACGTTTGTTCGCCAAGTTATATAAGTAGGCCATTCCTTGGGTTGTTATGGGGTTTCCCCGTGTGTTCCTTAGCTTCCATGGCTTCACGAATTCGTTTCGACGAGACACATATTCACACACACAAGCATTCGTTCAAACAACTAGACCCTCAAAGTAAACCGCACTACTTCACCGACTGCGAGCGCAGGCTCCCGCCGACGGTTATTGCCCTCGAGTTCGCGTTGCAACAAGTTCGATACGAAGTCGAGTGAGAGCGGATTTTTCGAAGCTATACCGAACCGTTACCGCCGAGCGGCGGTATGTCGTTCGCGATCAACATATGATGATCAACGAGTCGTTGTCGGGAGCGTCTAATTCGTTCGAAATCCATAATTATAGAGCAAAGCAAGGGGTGAGCACGAGGTGTGTGACATTCGGATCTACAATCTAGCGCGGGAGCGACACAGGCTGAATTTTGAATCTAAAATTTCGCATCATCAACTCGAATAGTCGAGATGATGAACGAATCGACGAGGGAACCCACCACCGGCCACGACCAGTCGTCGGTGTCGTCGTCGCCCTACTCGTCATCGTCATTGAATTGGTTCGACTTCAATTTGAAAGAATTAACTTTCGGACTACTACAGTCGGATTCATCAATGTGTATAGAGGGAGGGGATGGCAAGCATTTCTGACCTAAATGAATATGAGCGCACTCTGAGCGAGTGTCTGCCGTGCGCAGACAATCGAACTCGCAGCTCCCAACGTGTGACTGCCCGCCTACGGAACGATAATGATAATCGGAGGGAACCGGGTAGAGATGGGAATGAGCGCGGAGAATTTTCGAAAAATTTCAACAACCACGAATCGAAAGACGGACCTCTAATAGTTCCCCATCTGGGAAAAGACGACGAGTACGTACCTTGAGATTCACTACTAGACATTTTTTGCTGGTCATATGCGACGAGTACGATCCCGAGTGAGAGAAACGTTTACCGCAGTTCCGACACACGAACGGTTTCTCTCCGGAATGGATCCGTAGATGTTCCTTCAGGTGATGCTTGAACTTGAACGCCTTCGTGCACTCGTTGCACTTGAATCGACGAAGAACATTGTTCTCGTCGATGCTCCTGCCGTGACCGAGTGTCGTCGGTGTACTGTGGATTAGTTCGTGCTTCTCAAGGTGATCACGTTTCATGAAAGTTGCGTTGCACTTGCTACACGCGAATGTTTCTCTCAGGCAAGGCATCTGAGGTGCGAAAGCCTTGTCCGAATGAGTGAACTTGATGTGGTCGTGGAGACTGGTCACCGAGTTGGGCCCACTAAACGAGAGATCACAGTGGCTGCAGCGGAGGAACAGGTCGCCGAGCATTCCGCTGGGAGATGGATTTTGGCCGCTCTGAAGAGCTGTGAAGGAAAAATAATTTCCGATTACTTCTCTCATTTATGTCTCGAGAACCGGAAAGAAGCCGGTGCGCTCGACGGATGCCGAGTGATCATCACGTTTCTCCTAAGAGTACAGAGACTATCATATCGGATTTAAGTTCGATATGATAGCCGAACTGTGGATTTTCAAATCTAGCCGGGGAAGCTCCTCGATTGCGTAAACCAGGAGTACTGAACGAGCGGAGCAGCAATAACCCCAAGCCTTGCCCCCTCTCCTTCTCATGCCTGCACGCGAGAGAATCTGTGGAGTTGCGCAGGTAGACTGCTCTGGGATTTTGGTGCTAGTCCTCATGCGTCAGCGCACAATCACTATCTACCGGAGGAAGGTCGTCGATAGCGCCTCCGGGGAAGGTACTCGGAAGCGCCTCGGAGGAAGGTACTACTCGATAGCGACTCGATAGCGTCTCGGGGTAAGGTACTCGATTCTGCGCGTTCGCGACGAGTCGGAGCTACGGGTGAACTCAAGAGGAAACGAAAGTCGGATTGATGGTGTTCGATAACCTCCCGAACGCTTCTCTTGGATGGTGTGTCCGGCGTCCCGACGCTTTTGACGAGCACAGATCTCTACCGCTGCGATTTCCTACGAGGACGGCGGCGATATCTTGGGAATTCTGGCTCCCTTTGAACCTTGATCTCTTCGAATCTGTATTTGACGGAGTTCCTCTTTTCGCGCGTTCTCAACATGCGAGACTGAAGGTAAAAATCGATTGTAGGATCCTTTCTTCTGAACGAGGGGCACTTGTCATTAAACGACCAATTTCCTCGAGAGGAACGAAGGTGTCCATTGTGGGCTTTCCCCGTTGAAATTAGCGAGAACGAAACGACACCGGTAGCCGCCGTTCTAAATGAAGTAAACGTCGCGATCACTATGCGGTGGCGTAATCTGACGGTATGATGGCCTGGGAGTGTTCACCTTGCAGTCGTCGACCGACTTCCGTTGGTCAAACGTTGAACGAGACCTCAAGAATAAGTGCTGATATCTGATATGGACAGAAGCCTCGCTGGGCCCTCAACCGATACCACCCGAGCGAATGGTTTCCCGATCGATTGACTCGGCGATCACTCGTATTTCAAGCGAAGGTGGACCGGAAAGGGGCCGAGAAGTGGAATATCGGTAAATGTCGACCGATTCTGAGCGCGCAGGTGAATTCGCGCGAATACTCGAGTCGAGAAGAATTCGAGAGCAGAGTCGATAAGGGGAGCAGATCTGTGCGCGAGAGCGCTCTCCCCTCGACGGCGCGGCGTCGGCGGAGAATCGCTGGAATTAAGGTGTTTGCATCGAGCGTACCAGGAAGGATTCGGCTCGACACCGATAAACCCGATAACGTATGCAAGTCGGCCGGTCGACCGTCGGGCATGCCGATAGGAAGGCAGATCTACGGACCGACAAACAGAAAGAAATAGGCAAACCGACTCACAACAAACTGAGCGGTGTCATTAGCCAAAATAGAGCTCTGGAGAGAGCCGACCGAATGTCCATCCAACGTGCGAGCGAGCGAGCACCACTCAGCCAACGACTGAAACGACGGTTGAGCAAGTGAAACCTTCCATCAAAATTAAATGGAACACCACTATACTACTACGGCGACGACGACAACAACAGCGACGTCGACGACGACAGCGAGTCGAGCCGCGCGGACGAACGAGCGCTCGCGCCGAGCAGACTGAGCGAGCGGACTGTCGACCGACCCGAACCTACAAACATGAATCGATCCCGATCGTCGTCCATCTCGGTTCGGCGTAGTATCCCCAATGCGCGAAGTCTTTCACTGCCGAGAGTGAACGCTGCGCCGGCTTTGAACGACACAGTGGAGGAGTCTCTCTCCGCGACGGTTGATGACTCGGAGATTCCGAAAGAAATAAAGTCACGGAATGTCAGATAAAGCGCTTGTTCGGGGTATGCCCCGACACCTGGTGGCGATCTCTTTGCGAAAAGGACCGCGAACGGTAGACGAGGGAAACAAGTGTCAGGTTCTGGTCACTCGACAGAAGCGGGAGTTCCTCCAGTAATTTGAGAGTGTCGAGCGATCCCACCGAAAAAGGCCTGTCGATTCGCAGGTAGCTGCCGCCGTAGATGGACGCGCTCTCCACTTAATCGTTTCCCCACCGGCGAGCGATGCTACGATCGATCACCAGGTGGGTATCCTTAACGAGCCGTAATGAGGAAATATTCGCGCTCATTCCTCGAGAGAGACTGGAGCAACAATGGACGATTGATTGAAAAGTTTGGAAGACAACAGCGCGCGCGCGTACGAGAGTGCAGTAACCCGAGCAGCACTGACGGACGGACAGAGTGAGTGAGACCGGCGAGCGAGCCGGTCGTCGGTAGGCAGAGAGAAAGGCGCTCGAAGGAACGAGCGAACCGACGAACTCACGGGCATGCACGCAAACTGCGCTGCTCCAATCGGCGGCTACTATCCCGGAAAAAAGAAAATGATCACCGTGACTCCTTTCGCTGGTCTCCCTGCCTAGAACAGGTGCGTTCGAATCACAGGCAGAGATTAGATTTCTCAGTCTTCTCATCACGGTGATCACCGTTCTCTGTTCCTCCACCGTCAACTCGTTTTGTTTTTCTTATCAAGAGGACCCATGCGAATATGAGCGCGCGGACCGACAAGCAGGTCTAGACTGACTGAGGGAGCTCCCAGTCAGTGGCCGGACGAAACACAGTCATCCAGGCCGCCTTTTTTGTGACGCGATACGTCACAACGATTCCGGTTTCGATCAGGGGCGAGAGGAGCCGTTTGACACCGTTGAAATCTCCATAACTGGGATCACGGCGCCCCGGGGGCAAGAACTCACAGTTTGCGGCGTGGAATGCAAAGCTTGAAAACAGGGCAGGTCCGCTGCCGGATATATCCATTACGTCGGAATGCGTTGAACTTCAGATACTCATCGACTTCACCTCACGACGCACTTTCGTTTTCTGCGTGTCATCGTCCTCGGGCGTGCATATTTCAGTTCGATGCACCGGTTCATCTCTCGTACTCTGTCAGTACCGGAGTTCTCTCCCAATTAGGAGAGCACGGCACGGCCCCGGAATCGGTGGGCACATTTGGCCGGAACATTTGGCCAGCACATTCAGGCGGGACCTTGCCGGCGAAAATACCGCCGCCCGGAGGGCGAGAACATCATCCGCCGTCCTGACATCCCTCAAGCCACCCTATGCGGAGGGTCAACGCCAAGCGCTGAAGTAGAGCGCACTCTGCATCCGCGCCGCAACACCGCACATCTGGTACAAATACAAAGAGCACATCTTGAGACCGGATCGCATCGGCTCCGTCGGCTTAGTAAAGGGGGAGGTGATTTTTCGAAATCTGAAATTGGGAACAGATTTCCGATGTGGCACTTGTGTCTTGAGCAGTCGTCGTGATCTCGGCGGTGCAAAATTCCGAAAACACCTAAGCGTTCCGTAGCGCTCTCTGATCTATCGCGCCTCAAGGAGATCGATTCCCGAATCGATAGAGAGGGAAGCTCTACTTTTCCGGTGAACGGATCGACGTGCTCTGGGCGACGGTGGCTGAGCGAGATGCTGAATAAGAGTAGCAAAAGGAAGAGCTGGTTAAATTGAAGTGGATATCATCAGAACAAGAAAGAGATACCACCAATAGTGAGTTTACACACGCGCACTCCACCATCTGCGTCGTCGGAACGGTCCGAGATCACGAGCTCTAGCCGTATAGTTATAGTCTGGCGTCGGTGCCTGTTCGAGTGGAACCGGATCGTAGAGTGTGCGAGTTAGAAGACGCTGTCGTCTTGGCTCGAGGCTTTCTGTCTATGATTTGTACTATTTGGTTCTCGGTTGTTGGCACGTCGCTCCGGTTAGCGGCTCTCACTGGCACGCTCCGGAAGCTCATCGTCTGGACTGAGTGGATCGAAACTGAAAGCCGCACATCCTCTTTGTCTACATACAGCTGAATTTGAGCCGCTCCATATTTCACAACCTTCCGGTCGTTTACTTGATCTTCATTTCTGTTTTCGTGGGGCCAGGGTGAGATTTATTATTCGCCGGTTCTCGGCGCTCCAACTCCCACACGTCAGAGCGACGTAATTCCCTCGGAGGAGTCGGGAACAAGGGACACCTGACACGGCTGCTCCGGAGTGCCGGAAGAGACAATCGGAGGCCCGTACGGAAAACCGGAGGCGAACCTGTGTCTTGACTTAGGTATTTGCTCGTTTCTGGGAGAGATATCGGAAGGATCGTTCACCTTAGGTATTCCCTTATTTTCGATAACGGCAAACGAACGAGATCGGAGCAAGCCGGCAGAGACCGAAAAACCCATCGACATACGGTGCGGTCTGCGACGCAATTCCGGTGGCACAGACGATACTGGCAGGATACACAGGCTCGCCGTTTCCAACTAACTTAAGAATTGACATTCGATCGGAGCGAGATCAGAGATCGCGAATGATTCGACAACTTCTCACGAGAGCCCGAGCACAATGAGCATCGAGCGGATGCGCCCAAAGCGGTAATTCAACCCTTCTGTAGTGTCTCAAACATCATCATCATCCCTTTCGTCGAGCGTCGCACCGTCGTCGATCAACTCGACCGGCGGTCGGTGGAGCGCATTCCATTCCACGGTCGTCGAGGCTTCCCCGCACCTTTCGAAAACGTATCGTGATCAACACGGTCGTCATTAGTCAAGTTGCCAGCACCGGTGTTGTCGCCTCGTTTTCAATGGATTCGGCGAGTACGACGACCCACGATACCGATTCTCCTTTTCCCTTTATTTGGCAATTGCGTCTACCGCCTCGATGGCTGTGATTCGCTTTCTCTCTCTGCGCTCCGCGATCATGACGGTGTCGAAGATGATGATGATCACCACCACAGACTGAGTCATCAGAACAGAGCGATATTATTAATTTTGGCGGGGGCCGATAACGGACGGAGCCGAAACTGTGAGGCGCGACCGAGGTGGCCATCCGTCGCGAGAGAAGGAACGTATGAACGCTGTCCG